TATTTCATTTTTTTCTCTGGGGCTTATCGCCTTTTGTGCCATTTGCATATGTCAGCTGGGCGTTTATATCTTTGTTGTTGCTGTCTTTGTTGGCCTGGCCAACAGCCGCGCATAAATTGTTTTCTCATGTGTGCCAAATGCTTGACTTACGCGCCCAAAAAAGAATAATGGGAGATTAAGTCGGTCAAGCACAGCTGTGCAATACTCTGCTAGTAGTTGAAAATTGTGGGCATTGCCTAAGTAGTTTTTGTAAATAATTGTGTGCATTGTAAATAAAACAAAAGTTTTGCTTAACATCGAGGAATGTGAGCTTATGCACTTGGTTTGCTAATTACAGCTACATTAAAAGATTTGCATCTATTAGGATTACGTTACGTATGCGCGATACGTTTAGATCTGAAATCTGAGACTATCATTAGCAAAAACTTGTAGGCTCTCAGCACATCATGCTAAGGTCCGCTTAAGCAATGATATTTTTCAAAGATTTTATTTTTCTTGCTCAGAGCCTTAAACTTTAAACAGTCCTCTTATCGTCTTATTCAATAGGACATTATCTCTTCATTGGCTCTATAATACCTCTTCTTCCTGTCATACTGCTTCTAACAAAATGCTAGAAGCTAAAATGCATTCCGATCCAAAAACTAATCCTACCTCTTCATAACTCCCCAGAAAAATTGTATTTTATATTATTCCAGGAAGTGACAATATAATCAATATAACATTATATATAAATACTAAAATGAACACTACAAAATAGAAAATTAAAACATTCAACTTGCTTCAGATCTGCATACATAATTTCTTGTTATCAAGCTGACGACTTTAGATAATAAAATTATAATTTCAAATTCTGTATTATATATATTTTATTTTTAGTAACTCTACGAAGCTCTGCATATAAACCTTTTTTAACATTATACATATAAATAAATAAATAACATCATAGAAATCTTATCCACTATGTAATCTTTTTCCATCGCATTTTAACTCTCCCATTTGTCTAGCTGATCAAACAAGCTAATATGCCCTTGCTGCCAATTCAATGGCAGAGCATGTGCGCACAGGTAAATTCCATTGCACGTGTGCGTAGCCCAACTATTTTTGTTGTTATCCGCCTATAAATCAATTAATTTTTGGCGAACATGCAAATGCAATTGGGCTTGCAATGCAGCGCCACCTGGCGGTAGTGGGCAAAAGCTACACGAGCTGCAAACAAGTGACAACTGGAGGCAAAGTTTTATCAGCATGTCAACTGCAAGACAAATAAACGAGCATCTAGCCTCAATTTATAGGCTCAACTATATGTATATATACATACATATGCATATATATATTTATATAGTATATGCATATGATACAGCCGTAGTCATATATCAGAGTCGTGGGGGGGAGTGGGGTAGCTTTATCGCACATTTTGTTTTCATAAAAGTTTCCGTTTCGCATTAACCAGATAGGCTAAATGCATATTGAAAGACTTTTGCCAGAGAACCATAAATTGTGTTTTTCCTCCGCAAAGCAAGAGGCACAGCATTTGCATAGTTATAAGTAGATGGCAAATGTTTTGACATCATGTTGCAATTTGTTGTTGTTGTCGAGTCGAGTTGAGTTGAGTCTCTGTACTTGTTGGCGGATGTGCGCTCGAAGATCAAACAAAAGACGCTTAGTTACTGCATAAGCTGTTGCATTAAGTATACGCGCCGTTGCCGCCGCAATTTGTGAATGGGGAGAATGTTAGCTGTACATCAGGTGAACAGAGAACATGCCATTTGTCTTATTTTTGTTGTTGAGATGAGACAACAAGTTTATCAAGTCAATTGAGTGTTGTGACTGCTTGCATGCATAATTAATTTTAAGCAATTAATTATCTATAAATGGCGATTAAAACAATAGATAGATTGCCATTTTCCTCTCTGCACAAATATCTTTAAATCTGGCGAGGCCCACATTTATTGGCAATTCAAAAATGTCATTTAATGTGGGCAATGATTAATGCCAGTGATTTATAAAGAGAAAATCTTAAAACTTAAGGCTTAAGTGCAACTAACAGAATTTTGAAATTTATTAAATATATATTTAAGTTTACTTTAGATATTTAATAATCCAACATAATCTATAACATAAAAGTGTAACATTACCATAACATTTCCTGTATTTAATCACTTAATATTTCATAAATTTATTTGGCGCATTTTATGGCAGAAAAAAATTTACATTGGCATAAGATTTTCCGGCCTTACAACACACTCAAAAAATGCAGTCTTGGCTTAACATTTTATTGCTGAACATTGCATAAATTCATTTCATTTTTATTACTGAAAATTGTTTTCAACTTTTTTTTTTTCTTATTTATTTATTATTTTTAATTTGCATTAAATTTTATATTGCGATGTTATAAGAAATTTATGTCCAGACTTCATATCCGCTAAGATTGTTGTTATTTCACTCAGCCCTCGCAGCATTAACAAGCATTTTGCATGCAGTTGCCCCCACTTGAAACTAACGTAAACCCATCACAATTGTAATAGATATATAGATCTGACTTGCAAATATATGTAGTTATATATTATATTTATATGCACTTGTTTAGCGCTGAGTGCATGACTAGCAGAGTTATCATTGATTCAATTTACTTTGCCGTCATTTATCAATGTATTTAATGATTGAGACGTCATTTTTAATTTATTATAATAATATAATAATTATAATTAGTATTGAAACGAAATAGAGATAATCATAAACAAGTTTTGTCTAAAAATTCTTCACGAATCTCTGGCTTATAATTGCATTGTCAATATTTTATGTGAAATATTAAATAAATACAAAACAGAATTTTTTAATTTTTTAATTATAATAATATATTAATTATAATTAGTATTAAAACAAGTTTGTTAACAAGTTTTATCTAAAAATATTTCAACAATCTCTCTGGTTTATGATGATGATTATATTATAACTTCTGGTACAAATTTCTGTATCCATTAATTAATCACTTCCTTTTGATTATTCACACCTCAGCTGCAAGGTCAAAGCTCTAGGCATCTAAAACTAATTTGTTTTTATAACATATATCAAAAATCTTTAGACCAAGACTGAAACACATTTGAAAGCACAAAGAACGGTCAAAAATATGATTCTTAATGTTTTCTTCTGTTAGGAAAGGCAATCGAATTCGTGATTAACATTTTTATTATCTTAAGCTCAACATGTTTTTTAATGTTTTTCTTTTCTATTAAAATATTTTTAAACACTTCCCCATAGCTCTCTTCTCCGACTAAAAATAAAAATTTTCCTTTATAAATATAAGCGTAAAAACATTTTAATTAAACACATGCAGCAATCTACTCTTAGCTAATATTTTTATGCCAGGGTATAATGAAAAACAATTGTGAATGGTTTGACATTATGTCTCTTATTGCACTATTGTCGCTAGTGTTGTTGTTGTTGTTGTTGCTGTTGAATTTGCTGCATGTGGGCTATAATAAACTTGGCAATAATATAATAAAAAGCATTGGCAATGCGATTGTTAACTAGACGCAAACGCAAACTTCTCTCTCACACCTAATCGAAATGGCAAACGAATATGAATGCTTACTTAAGATGCTGCCCCGCCCCTCCTTTTAGCTTGTATCCCTGATGCCGCCTCTGCGGCTTGCCACATGGAAGAATGTCGTGCAGTCGCTTGTCGCTTGTTGCTGGGTGCGAACGCGGCGCCAACAACCTTCAAATTTCGTGAGACACAACTAATGTTGCTGCAGCAAATGTTGCAAATGTCAAATGGCCAAATAGAACTTTTTCCCGACACATTATGAAAGGCACTTGATTTCGATATAGATGTGGATGAGGATTTGAATTGGAATTTTTATTAAGATTATGATACGTACAGCTCATCTGCTAAACAGTTACACAATAGAAAATTGCTGGAGTCGTAAAAGGCAGCAGCAGCTATGTTGCCTATGTTGCAAGTCTCGTGTTGGTCGCTTGGTGGCAACCAAGCAAATAAATCGCAGCAGGCCAACAAGATGACGACGCGTTGTCTGCTTGGCCATAAATGTCAAATACGCGCGTTTCGCACGAGGCTTTTGGATCTTTTTCGTTTTTGCACTTTATACCCTAAACGTGGTTATATTAGTTGTGAGCCTCTGTTGAGGGCAAGCAAATGATGAACCAATCTTTGAGATCTTAAATATATGTTATATTTATTGGAGACAAGGCCTCAGTATAAAATGGGAGTGATAAATCAAAGCTTGAAGTTATTTTACTTCCTGTTTATCAATTTTATCTCTAGCATTACGACAAGCAACAAACACTTTAATCCTTTGACTACTCAAAAAGGAAGTTAGCTTCACAGTTGAATTCTAGCTCTGAGCTCAACAAAAGATTTCAAGATTGGTTCTATTTATTGGTATATATTAAAATCAACTATAGTTGACTTCCGATGACTCGAAATGGGAGCACTTTTTTCGATTTAAACAGAAAATCAAAGTACCGAGAACAAGAACAAATCGTTTTGTTCTATTTATTACGATTTTCGATATAACAGTTCACAAATTATCGAGTCTAGACTGTAGTAAACTCTGTTTTATTGCCTATGAAACTTTACGTACAAGTATATAATACATCTTAATACATCTCTTATAAATGCCAACTAATTTGCAGGGTATTTCATATTCGTCTATGCGCTATTCCCAGTTTCGCTCTTGTATATTTATTTTTATTATTTTTTCGTTAACGCCTGACACATCAAGGCGTTTGTAATCGCCCGCACGCCCTCTCGCACGCCGATTGCTGCGCGTGTCATGTAATCTGCTTGGATTTATTGCGTTTAGCTTGCGTTTTGCTGTAATTCGATTTGGTTGCAACAACAACAACATCAGCAGCAGCAGCAGCAGCAAGAGCTAACAAAAATGCCGCAGGCTATAATTCATGTTCTGGTTGCAAGTGTTGTTGTTGTTGTTGTTGCATCAACATATATGATTTACGGCTTTAGTTATGTGACTTACCCGTAAACAGTAAATATCCACAAAAGACGATGAGCACAGCGAATGTGAGCCTTGGCAACATGTTGCTAACGCCGCTTACAAATGTTGCCAGCCAGAAATAATGTTGCCAAGCAGCCGCCTGTTGCTTCTGATGCTCGTGTCTGCTGCGGCTGTTGTTGTCTTATTGCTTTTGACCTTTTTTATAAAGCGTAAACAAATGCTGACTTTCCAATTGATACGGGCAAGGTAAAATAATAAATAAACCGCTAAGTAAACGCGAGCGCGACAAAAAACGCGCGCAATTCTCGTTTAAACTGTTTTCAATAAATACATTTAATGCCACACCACAAAAAGAAAGGAAAACGTTTTGTGTCAGCTTTGCCTGGCTGAGCACAACAACGGCGACTACTTGTTGACTGTTGGCTGTTGGCTGTTGGCTGTTGCAGTTGCAGTTGCCCAATATGTGGCACCCAAGTAGCGGGCGGGCGACTCTTGTTGGCAGTTGCAATTGCCGCAACAGTAGCAGCAAACAATAGCACACTAGTATTGCACTAACTATACATAAATCTATATACACACACACACACACACACACACGTACACACACAGAGTGAGCTAAGCACACATCACAAATTTGCTATTTGTTGTTATTGTTATTAGCTGTTGTCTCCAGCTGCTGCACCATAGACTGCCTCAGTTTTGTATTGTCTTGCAGCAGTTTAGCCAATTGCAGTTCAAGTCGCGCGTTTACGTCTGATCGCCTGGCGTTTTCAGCTTCAACTGATTTTCTGTTTTCAATTGTCTAGCTGAATTTTTCGCAACGTGAACATCCAGTGCTGCTGCGCTCCGAAGAGCTTGAGTCAAAACTTGAGTCGATTTTTTTTTTTTTTAGCTTTGAGTCTGGCCAACAACTCGTTTGTCGTGCCTCCAAAATATAATAAAAGCAACAGCAACAGCAGCAGCAGCAACAACAAAAAATCTTGTCTCAGCTCTCAGCTGTGCTCACTTTTAATTGTGCTAACTAGATTTGGCCTTACGCAATTGCAAATCAAATTAAATCAAAGCCTGATGAGTCACACTGATCAGAGACCCTAGAGTCAGCCTTCGCCTAGACTAACTAACGATGGCCAATACAAAAAACTTGTGTGAAAATAAATGTATATAAGGCCAATTCGGCATCATGTAATTAAGAAGTTTTTCATTTTGGCTTTGGGCCAGAACTGAATTAACTAAGAAAAAACGGAAAACCTCAACGAAACGACACTTTATTGCCTAGAAGGTGTCCTTTCATTTTACTACTATATAGTATGTATCTATATACATAGATATTATTATATGTATATATAGTTATCTCATTTTGTTTTTGGCTGCTGCATCTTGTAGCCAAGCCTGACCTTGTAGCCAAGTTATTATGGCTGTGTTGTTGCTGCTGCCGCCACAGAACCTGACCAGAATGTCTTTGCCCTGCAGAAGAACCAGAAGAAACCAGTGAAAACGAAAGGTTGATGTGGGGAATGCACGACTAACAAATACTTAAAAGATAAATAGCCACTGTGTTCTCTATTTTTGACTCTATCATATAATCATAAATTGTTGCACAGACTTTGTTGACTTGACTATTGATTTTGCCTTACAAGCTTGGCCATATTTTTCAGTGAGTCCTATATTTGTACATACGAATATTAAGCCCTGCATGCCAACTTCCAGTTGATATAGGGTATAATATTTCATTGTTCTAGTTCAGTATGAGTAGCTTTACAAATTTGTTATATTTCATACGATACCTTATCTAAGCAAAATTTTTAAATATTGTTAAGTTATAAATGTATCTAGAATATAGTAAATTATTGAAATTAAAAATTATTATTTTGTATTATTATTATATATTAAAGTTTTTTTATTTCTTAAATATTTACAATCTAAATCAATTTATGCAATAAGAAAAAGAAATTAAATATTAACATTATTTTAATTATACAAAAAATAAATAAATAAATTGAATATAATCTACACCATTCACTGCTATATTGTTTCAAATATACCTTCTTTGAGCAACCCGTATTCGATCTAGGAATAGTTGAAGTTCTGTTTAATCTCAGCTCACTTCTCTTTCATGCACTTTCAGTCGGGACTGTATTTATTATGTGTCTTGGCCTGATTTATGTTAGCCAGCTGCCTTGCCACGCTGACCAGCATGCCAAATTAGCCTGGTTTATTTATATTTAATACTATACTTCTCTCTCTCTCTTTCTCTTTCTCTCTCTCGCCTTGGTGGGACAGGAACAGCGGCGCTTTCAAGGCCTCGCTACATACGCATAATTCATAATCACATTAGGCAGGGTTCGGGTCTGGGCCTGGGGTTGAGCTGTGCATTAAACACAAATTTTGCGTTAGCGAATCGCCCACCTAAAAAACATTAAAAATGAATAGCAGTAAAAAAAAACACGAATTAACTATTATATAAACATATAAAAATTGCAAATGGCAAAAGCTGATTTCTCATTACAACGCGCGGGCACGCGCAGCACCAGAAATAAGTAGCCATAATAGAACGATTAATGTGTGGCATGAGGAATATGAAATACTCTACGGAAAATGTTTCGAAAAGGGGATAAATGTTGGTAGATACTAGATACTAGATGTTAGAAACTAGATTCTAACTAGATACTAAATACTTGAAACTAGATACTAGATACCAAATACCAGATACTAGATACTGTATGCTACATACAAGATACTAGACACTAGATAAAAGATACTAGATATTATATACTATGTACCAGATACTAGATACTAGATACTAGAACTAGATACTAGATATAAGATACTAGATATTAGATACTATGTACCAGATACTAGATATTAGATACTGGATACTAGACACTAGACACTAGATACTAGATACTAGGACTAGATACTAGATACTAGATAAAAGATACTAGATAAAAGATACTAGATACTAGATAAAAGATAAAAGATAGTAGATACTAGATACTAGATACTAGATACTAGATACTAGATACTAGATACTAGATACTAGACACTAGATACTACAAGATATTAGATATTATTACTAGACACTTGATTGTAGATAGTAAAATTAGTAAAACCTTTTTAAATTGCAGTTAAATTAACGCTGTAGTTGATATTAATTAACAATGATATAATTCAAGTCGATATAATATACATCTATGTGATGTTACATATTTCGTAGCATAGTTAACATGCCCTTGGACAGTGTATGATTAATGCAATGCGGCGGCTAACGAGGCGGCTCAAAGCGCCAGTAAATTGTCCGTCCGTAATTGATAAACTGGCCAAATGAAGTGGCTTACTGCGGCTGACTGGGTTACTGAGTTACTCACTCACTCACACACACAGTCACACACACACTCACTAAAATTGCGCGCAATCATCTTTTTATTTTTTTTTTTTTTATTTTTGATTTATTTCTTACAACTACTTCAATTGCTCACTAATTGCTTTAATGTGCGCTAAACGCAGTTGCTTCAAATTATGGCCAAATTATTGGCAACTAAAAACTATAAAGGCTTCCAAAACTCTTCCTAACTTAGTTAATGATTATGATTTGCCAGCAAGGTTAACAATTTTTAGCAGCAGAGCTGTCTGCTCGAGCGTGATCTTTGATGTTGAGTACAATCGAAATGTTGTTTGATGCTTCAGTTAGAGCATTTGTAATGCGTCTATGGCAGCTAAGCATTAATGCCAATTACTGCTTTTGGCCATAATTAAGAATTCTTGCGGGCTTCAATTGTTGCGTGCTCGCTGCTCAGCCAAAAGCCTTAAAGCCTGATTGATTGACTGATTGACTGACTGACTGACTGACAGTTTGTCGTAGGAAGTGTGTGAAATGCCTACCGAAAAAAAAAAAATTGCAGACTACTGAGAACTATTTGCTACGCTGGCCATTAAAACTAATTGGCAGCAAACACTGAACGGAGCTGAGCTGAGCTGGGCACGCACGTCTGGCCATTTGGCTTGGCCTATTAAATCGCTTGAAGCGTAAAACAATAGAGCATATCAATGCGATTGGCTCACCTCTACCCCCGCCGGCCACACAGCCAGCCAGAGCAAGGTCAAGAGTAAATTGATTTGATCTCGACTCGCTGCGAGTCGTGTCGAGTCGAGCACCTCGTTCGAATGGATGTAAAACAAAGCCCAACCCCGAAAATCGAACGAAATCAATATGAGGTTTCGCTTTAATGATGTGCGAACGTCAGCTCCATTCAATATGGATTTCATTTACACTTGGCTCTCGATCGACGCTCTCCTCCGTCACTCAATCTATTCCGATCTTCGATCTATGATCTACGATCTACGCCTGCCTTTTATGGTAGAACCGAGCGATTGGTGCGAACTTGCCTGTCATCTGCTACAAATCAGCTGTCATAAGCCAGCCCAAAGCAGCATTTTCGTATTATTTTTGGTGGTTTTTACAATCACTTTCAAAAGCTACAATAACACAATAACAATTATTACAGCAGCAATAACAGTGAGTGCTGTTGCGAAAGATACCCTAGGTGGTGCTCTAAGTCGATCTTTTTGGGTAAGCGTATGATATGAATAACTCTTTGAATGGAGTTTTGTAAAACGAACGAAAGAACTCATAACTTAATTAATTAGGATGGTATTACCATTTTTGTGAAAATATCCCTTGAGAGATTTGTTTTCATATTTTTAAGTAAATATTGAATTATCATCTCTTTTTTCAATTATTTTTAAATATGTCTGGATTAACATAAATTTATTTCTGTCTGATCTTAAAGAGCTGAGAATCGTGGGAATATAAATCAATTTACCATATAATATTAAACTTTTTTATAATAATATAATAGGGTATACAAAATATTGCATTTAGCTTAGCTTTTTTTTTAATATATATACTAAAGTTTTTTTTAGAAAATTTATATTTGCAAATAGTTTAGCTTTTTTTTTTTATATATACTAAAGTTTTTTAGAAAATTTATATTTACAAATACAGTAGAGTCTCGATAACTACGCTAAATCGAAAAATCGCAATAGAAGGTGAAAATTCGATGTCCTTGAAAAAAAAATTATTATCGATAATTTGAATTTCTGTGTAAAAGTTCTGCCGATTTTAAATCTAATATATTCTATAATGCTTAAGCTTAACAGATTCTCTAATGCTTAATTAACTCTTGTTTAATATTATTCATATGTCTTAAATATCTTGTAAAAGTTTTTCATTATCTCATGTTCTTCAAGTCATTGTCCATGACTATGGTATATCCATATGAACTAAGCTTTATTATAATAATAATAATAATAACAACATATGCAAAATATCTCTAGAAAGCCTCATTAGTTGCATATAAATCCAAGTTGCATATAAATCCCTTGCTGTTACTCCAATTCCAACTGCTACATACCATATGCACCAGCTGAATATACCTTTTCTTCAATATTATGCAATGGGCATACGCTGTATACAAGACGACACAAGGTATCTAGGCAGACAAATGCCGAGGCGCTGATAATGATCATTTTTTTTTCTCAATGCACAATTAAAAGTGGCAGCGAGTGCCACTCGCCATTCACC